AATTTAAAAAATGATTATGTCTGTAACATATACTCTAGAGTGCATTGATTAGATTTAAAAAGTACAATTTGTAAGATTTAAAAAGTACAATTCAGGTCACAATCAAGTTCTCAGTCAAAGAAAATAAAACAAAATAACCAAAACTCTCCTAATCACCAATCATCTTCAGACTTCATTATTACTTTCATATTATCCCCAGAGAGCACAAAAGAGCCACATCCCAATTTCCCTCCATTCTTATGTCTGGGGATACCATTGAATACTTAGAGTTCTATGTCAACTCTAGAGGAACACCAAACCTCATCTACTCAGTTTTACTGGCTAGGCATAGTCCACCCAGAGAGCCAATTGTGCACATACCCAGGCCCTGAGCCATAAACAATTTTAAAGATAATAACCAGTACCTTAACTGCACTCAGAAGCCTACTGGCAATCAGTGCAACTCCTAAATCTTGTAGTGGTGTCATGAGCAAACAGCCTGTTCCCAGTTACTACTTAGACTGTTGTATTCTGGATCAGCAAATTTAGATAAAGATAAATTCCAGATCAGCTTCTAGATAAAGACAGGCACATCATGTAGAGTGTATTGCAGTTGTCCTTATATAGGTTACAAAGCCATGAGTGACCATCAAAAAAGTTTTCCAATCCAAGAAAGGCTATAATTGGCATAACCTGTCGATCTAAGCCATGGCTCTTTTGCTTCACCTGGCCTTGGAACAAGAGGCTTGGGTCCCAGAAAGTCTCCATATTGTGGACCACCTCTGTTCAGGGAACACAACTCTGCTCAGGAAGAAAGCTGTAAGAGTAGAAGAATCCATAACTTTCTGAACCTATAATTACTCCATCATGCCCATTTTGCTGGATGGAAAAAATTATCTTCTAAATTGATGCCTTTAAACAGGACATATTCAGATTCATGAAGAAACACCCAGATCTAAACAAATTTGTAAATTTCAGGAGCATTTAATCCACCAGTAATTTCTTCTGATTAATTTAATTTTGCCTTCCTTTTTGGGCGGCAAGATATAAAACCATAGTGAATTGATTTTTCCTATATAAAGTAGACAAAGTTTGGCAATCTAAACACACACACACGCACACACAATGAATGATTGTGTTATGTCCTTTGGTGCTATTATGGGCACTCAGTCTGTTAGGACATATTGGGTGATTATAGGCCAGTCTTTTCAGAAAAAGCCATGGGTTTCAAGTTAGCGGTAACCATCTATCAATTCTAGAGATTATGGCATGATTTACAGTCTCAGCATGGTGTATCCTCTGAATTTCTGCCTCCCTATGAAACATTGTGCTTTCCTTTTCTATTGATGTATCAACTATAATAGTTACAAGCAGCTACAGAAAAATCAATAGTGGACTTTCATTACTGAGAACATAAAGTAAAAGAGGGCCACGCTGTGAGAGTCTTGCTGTTAAATAGTCACTGACTGCAAGGTACACAATAAATGTCTGTTATTTTGGTGTAAATGAAAGATGTCTGAATTTGAAACATCAACCATCTCCAATTCTGGAGACAACCAAAGCTAGGTCAGGTTAGCTTAGCTAGCAGTTCTTCCCTGAATCAAGGAGCAAAACTAATCTGTCTTTCCCACAATGAAACTTGGATTAAAGAGAAAACAAAAAAAGCTAAATAAGAACGGCAGATGGTGTTTTTTCTGTAAATTGTGTTGCAATCTTTTTGGCCACACTCACCTGGCCTGAACTGGACACTTTAATTGTAGGGAGGTTCACTGGTCTCAAAAGGGTGCTTTATTCTAGTAAGAGCAGAGCAATCATCTCAGTCTTGTGTACTTTGACAAGCAAGAGTTAGGAGAAACTAAATCAAAGATTCATTTTAAAATGTCTTAATATAAGGGTGGAAATTGCATTTGGCATCAATAATGGAATGCCTTGGGAAAGACTTTGGGCTATCGATGCTATCTGAGGGTGTTTTATCTATTTTCCATATTTCCTGTTCATGGTCTTAATATGTTTTAATATATTGTGTAGGACAGCATGTAGGGAAAGATTGCTTTGTCTCTGTGGTGATTGCTGAATTGCTAATTCTCATCCATGTTTCAGAATTACTCCACACTTATTGAGATTACATTCAAGAACACCTTATCATTCCTAAAGACTTAAAGTAGTTGGAGACACCAGGGAAATTTCTCTTGCTATTTCAGTGTTCAAAGTCAGATAATTCATTAGGAATCATTATCTGTATAGACATTTGTCTTTCTATGATTAATATTTTAAAGCGGTAACATCACTTCAAGGGACCACTCTCTCCATTAATTTTTATGTGGTGACTCATTCATAAAATTAAAATGTAAGAATGTGAAGCTCTGTTTTTGGTATTAACCCTGCCCCATAAATCCATGACAGTGGCATTGTAGCAGTAGTAACAATAACATCAAAGACAACGCAGCATCAAAGACTCTCCAATATCTTGTTGTTGCTCAGTCTTTCAGTTGCCTCCAACATTTTGTGAGTTGATGGACACAATCTTACATGTAGATGCTAAATGTAGAAATCTCATTCTTTAGGACACCTGAACTGGTACTGCTCTGCTAACACCACTCATTTGATGGAAGCAAGAGAAAGATTATATTGTGTATCTGACAATATCATAAGGAGTATAGCAGAATTTCTGAATTTGGAATAGGATATGGAAAAAACTGGTTATTTCTAGCTCTTTTTTTAAATGACTTGTTTTGTTGAACCCAGTCCCAAATAACCCACCATATAAGTGTCAGCTTTCTGTGGTTAGTCTACATGTTCTGTGTATAGGGCAAATTTATATATTTCCCATGGCAATTACATACATTTTTAATTTACATAGGCCAAGATCCAAGGGCTTATATGTGTTCCACACATACTATGAACCTCTTCCAGCCTACAGGCTCCTTGCTGGGGCCCCTTTCTGCTTTAGAAGATTAGACAACCTTCTGCAAAAGCTGTTCATGTATCAGAAGGGAATGGCGTAACAAAATTGGTGACCTTTGCATGCCTTACTTGCACACATGTACACACACAAAAACAAACTCAGTAAACATTCTTTTTGCTCGTAATGGAGTTCTTTGGATTATATCCATTCAGTCATAAAATTATAAGCATATACCATGTTTCCCCAAAAATAAGACCGGGTCTTATTTTTTTTTTGCCTCCAAAAGATGCACCAGGTCTTATTTTGGGGGTAGGCCTTACCTCACCTCCGGCACTGACAATCCCACCAGCCGGTCCACTTCTTCTGGGGCCAAAGTTCTGCAGCTGCATTCGGGCCTGTATTTTGCAGTCAGACCTTTCCAGAAGGCTTAAGCAGCCGAGTACCAAGCTATGGATTCAATCCATAGCTTGGTGTTCGGCTGCTGAGGACTTGCAGAACCGACCTATGGATTGAATCGGCACAAGAGTGCCGATTAGAGGAGGTACATAAGAGTGTTAAAACAAACCCAAGAAAGAATCAAGAAACCAGCATGCAATTTTTATTTGAGAAAAAAATGGATATAAACTTTCCTTTCACTCATTTTGACATGTCCTGCATTCAGCATGTAACACCTGTGGCTTCTCAAATTTGTCTTATGAAACATCTCGTATTGTTTGGTAAAGTCACCAACAGGATAGAATTCCCAGTCCCATGAAATAATTATCTAAGCCAATGTATTTAGCCAAGTTCATAAAAGCTTGAATGCCATAATGATATGCAAATATCATTCTCTTCCCAAGAACCAGAAGAATGCCTTTAAGCTAATATTTATAACAAGAAGTGTTTGACTGAAAACTCTTGTAATTTTTATCATACCGGAGGCTGTTTTCCTCATTCAATTAGCTGAATTTTTCCTGAGGCAAGCCAGACATCTAGTGCCTGCTAAATTCAGAAACTAAAGCTTGCATTTTGGCTTAATATATCCCCACTTGGATCTGCCTCTTTAAATTCTCTTTTATATGAGAATGTCAGTTTATTCGTAGTCTGGAGTCTGGACTACCTGAACAAACCAAACTTTATATCTTATTCCAAGAGCATAAAAAATTTTGGAGGCAGGGGGAAAGAGAGTGAAAAGGGAAACAAACAAGAGTTCATCAATGAAAATGAAAGGAAAATTGATATTTGGTTTATTTTCCAATCTGCTAAGATTTCCCCCTTTTAGGAAAAGCTGTTTCTGTGTTCTTTAGTTCCACCCCTCCCCCAATTTAATAGATATAGATTGATTTTATGAACGCACACAGTATACTAAAAAGAGGCTTTGCTTTAATGTAAGAAAAACGCATCTAGAGAAAAGTCTTCAGAAAGTAAATGGAAATCCTTGTATTTCTTCTTAGATATTCATCAGAATAATTCAAAATAATTAAAAGTTACAATTCCAGTTAAAAGTAACTACAGCAAAGGATGGCTTTTGCAGCTTCACAATCACAGCCATGCCCCTTTTCTTACTGCTGTTCAGTTGCACAATCCAGACAAGCCTGAATGGATGCTCTAAGCCAGGGGTTCCCAACCTTGGTAACTTTAAACTGTGTGGACTTCAACTCCCAGAATTCCTCAGCCAGCATGGGTGGCTGGGAAATTCTGGGAGTTGAAGTCCAGGTGTCTTAAAATTGCCAAGATTGGGACCCTCTGCTCTTAAGGAATCTGTATATAAGGTCTTTATAAGACAAAAAGGACAACTCTGTTAGCTCCATGTTTTCTTTAGGGAACACTATTCTGCCAGGGGAGCAGAAAGAATTTTTGCATATTATTCATTATTTCAATCTATCTTTTAAAACAGGGATCCCCAACCCCTGGTCTGTGGACCGACATTGGGCCACGGCATGCCAGAAACTGGGCTGTGCAAACAAGCAAAGCCCCATCCGTGGGATGCAGGCAGCATGCGAAACCATGCCCCCTCCGGTCCGCAGAAAAATCTTTCTCCACGGAAACCGGTCCCTGATACCCAAAAGGTTGGGACCACTGCTTTAAAAGGCAAATGCTATCAGATAGATCTAAGAGGCTTATCAAACAAGGAAGACAGGATGATGAGGGAGAAGGGGAAAAAAATCCCAAGTATGGTTTCCAGTCCTATTTTCCAAACCTACCAACCATTTGAATAGTTTCACTAACACCCTGGGGAGGGAGGACAATGAAATCCTCCCATTTCTTTTCTCTCCTTTATATCTTCTCTGACCACGGTCAAAATGCTGCTAGGGAAAACATGTTCTAGGGGTGAACGAAAGAGAAACTCTCATCCTTTGACCTCAAAAGACATTTTCCCGGTTCATAGCATTTCCAATTTAGCAAAGGAAAGGTGGCGTAGCTGATCTGTCGTGTAGAAAAGTACCATTTCCCATGCTTTTAAAAAAAAAGAAAAGAAAAAAGAAGGAGAGAAAAATGAAATATAATTTTAAACAATACACCTGGCAGCTTGATGCCATAAAGTGTTGTAAAGTGTGCTTTTATTTGACTTGTGAAGTGGTCTGTAACAAATTGTGGTTCTAACTATCCTTAATAGTTAGAAGTTAAATAGGATTCAGCCCAATAATTCCAACATTTCCTTACTGTGTAAGCATCTTATTCTGCATCTCAGAGAAAGTATCATTGAATCCAGCCTATTATTTCTGCTTGGATGGAAACTCATGAGTTGTTGTAAAGCACTTTAAAAAGGTAAAACTCTAAAAACAATTTAAGTATTATTTAACATTTCATTGAACTTCAAAAATATTTTATGGCCACAATAAAAGAGATAGTGTCCAAAGCTTGCTCAGGCAGGTAATAAACATATTAAGTATCTGTACTTTCTTTGGCCAGCTTGTTCACCTTGTGTGTTCGTTCTTCTTGGTGAGTGACTCTGAATAAATCTTAAAGGCCATCATCCTTGTTTCTTACTTAGCGTAACTCAGTGGTTCTCAACCTTTTCTTTACCACGGACCCCCTTTAAATACCTTTTGTGGCCACAGACCCCCAAAACATATGAAGAACGGTTGCAGGAATTAGGTATGGCTATTGTAGAGAAAAGAAGGACTAGGGGTGACATGATAGTGGTATTCCAGTATTTGAGGGACTGCCACAAAGAAGATGGGGTCAACTTATTTTCCAAAGCACCAGAAGGCAAGACAAGAAACAATGGAGGAAAACTAATCAAGGAGAGAAGCAACCTGGAATTAAGAAGAAACTTCTTAACAGTGAGAACAATTAACCAGTGATACAGCTTGCCTTAAGAAGTTGTAGGTGTTTCATCAATGGAGGCTTTTAAGAAGAGACTGGACAGTCACCTATCTGAAATGGTATAGAGTCTCCTGCTTGAGCAGGGGGTTGACTAGAAGACCTCCAAGATCCCTTCCAGCTCTATTCTGATTGATTGACTTAACTCAAGATTAAAATCATAACATTTCTTCAAGCCTTCTGTGATGACATCATGGACCCCCCAGGGGTCTGCAGACCACAGGTTGAGAACCACTGGCGTAATTTATAAATTGCACATTGGTCAAAGCTTCCTGCTCACTTTCTGGGAGTTTGACTCTTTTTTCCTCTTGAAACATAATTAATGCATTTACATTTATGTTACATTTTTCATAAAGGACATAATTGCCTTAGACCAATGTATCATCATAATCATATCTTTTTCATTGATCCTTTCCTGAAGAGCTGCTAATAGCTTTCCGGATATTCTGTTATGTACCATTTCCATTGCTCCACTCTTTTTACCTTATGTTGTCTGTGAAACTTTATTGTCCATCACTGAGTTTTCCTTGCTCTTACTCAGAATTTTGAGAAATAGTTAATATCCATTCAAGGGACAAAATCTGTATAGCAGATGAATGTGGATCGTGTTTTCCATGTTGCTATTGCTGTTACCACTCCTAGCAACTTTAGTTAGCTTGATAAATATTGCTAGGAACTACAGCTAAGCAACAATTCAAGGTGAATTTGTGTTCTTATTCCTTGCATGGTACAACAGTCAACAACCCAACATACAGAAAAATAGGAATTAAATAGTGGCTTAAAGGCATGTTTTAGAAATATGGACTCCAGGGGAAGGTATCTCATAAGAGTTTTAGGAGCTCATCAGTCATAGAATATTTTTGTTGCAGGTTATATCTATGAATATTTATGATATTAGAAATTAAATGGAATAATTTTAACATTATTGACTTTGCGGACTTCCTGAAAGATCACACTTTGACATCTGCTGAACTAGAAGATATCTTTTGGAGCAGTTAATTAACAGTACACAGTCCATAAGAAACAATATATACATTTTATATTTATTTATTTATTTATTTATTTATTAATTGCATTTATATGTGATGCATTACAAATAGTCGATCAGTGGAACAGCTTACCTCCCAAAATTGTGGGTTCTCTATAGTTGGAGGTTTTCAAGAAAATATTGGACAACCATTTGTCTGGGATAGTGTAAGGTCTCCTGCCTTGGGAAGTGAGTTGGACTAGAAGACCTCCAAGGTCCCTTTCAGCCTTATGATTCTATGGTTATTTGAGTCTAGTCCTTGACTCATATTCTAAGTTATGGCGCTGCTGAAAAAATGGACATACAACCAGTCCTTGAAATTCCAGTCATCATAGCACCCCTCACAACCACAAGATCATGATCTGAGTGCTCAGGTGCCTGGCTAGCAATTATGTTGTGGCAGGGAGCTATGGTCACATGTTCATCATTTACAACCTTTCCTACTAGCTTCTCGCAACGTCAGTGGGGAAGCCAGAAGGGAAGGTCACTCCAGTAAGTTGTCTTAGTTTTTCTCCGATCACAGCACACAGATACCACATCCATGCTCAGTCGCACCGGCCCTCCCAGGGCCTCCCCCAACCTCTCACAACTGGCACAGAGTTAGTACCAGGCCCCCTGCAACTCACACAATGCCCGCACCAGCTCTCCCTCACCTGGCCCTCCCATAACTCACATGAGGCCTCTGCTGGGCTTCCCAGGCCCTGCCTGCACTTTCCCCTGCACTCCTTCCCTGAGATTCTCACTTTTCCCGCTTAATTACCTGCAAATCTTGGGGTTACAAGGGCAATTGGGATTGCCCAGGATTGCCATCATGAGGTGATGTGATTAGCTGACATTACCCTTTATGCCTGCATCACTTAGCAACGGCAATCCCAATCCCTATTCCCATCATAATACTACCTGTATCTGAAGTATAACCAACCCGTATGAAAGTTGTTCATTTGTGTCAACTTTCCACTCCTTTATGTAGGGACTATCTCATAGAAACAACAGCAGCAACATACAGGAGAACTGTGTGTCCCAGTTTCCAGAGGACCAAACCTCTATTTGAAGCAAATGCCCTACATTTAGGGCCTTTACAATTTTAAAGGTGCTTAGGAGGAAGAGCGGGGGCCTTGAAGCTGCATATCAAAAATTGTATTTGGACTGCAAGCTGACTGTGTGCCATATCATGGTGTGAATATTTAAATATTCTCTAAATCTGCATCAATGCACATGAGTTATCCATGTAAATATTATACATAATCATAGTGGGGTGGGGTTTTGGAGGGGTTGTCTTGTTTGTTTGTTTGTTTGTTTGTTTGTTTGTTTATTGTGCTCTGGGTGCATTTGCTGTCAGGGGAAAGACCAGATTACACCAGAACATCCTTTATGATTGTAGTGTCTTTCCTGAAGGTGTTGTTCTGAAATATTTGGCTATATTTTAACCATGTAATATCAGTAGTAAAGTGTTTTTATCAATTTGGTTGATAAAACAGAAATGTCCTTACCCCAAAAAGAGGTCTGGGTTTGACATTTATGTGCTGAATAGTCATGTGTTGGTAAACTCAGAGTTCAGAACTGGTTATTCATTTGCTGATATTCTAAGACTGAGAAGAGCATAGAACAATTCTTAAAGAATCTAGAAATTGCAAATGGTCCAGAATGTGGCAGCAATGTAGTTGAGTAGGGTTTCTTTG